TTTTCGAAATAATAACAAAAAATATATATATTTCGAAGATATGTGAAGTCCGCCAATCCACAGTGGGGTCGCATGGTGGATTATGCCCTGATACCCTCTGTATAGAGGAGGCCTTTGCCCAGCAGTGGGACTTGTATAGGCTGTTACTTTAAATAACAAAACATACCGATGAGAAGTGATCTTGGTATTATTATACGATTCACTCATATAATTGCGGCACGATTTAATAGCACAAAAAGGCATAATTAATTAGCTCGTTATCCGTACATGATTCAAATGACACTGACGTAAGTGAAACACGAGTCTACCAATTTTGGTAGACATTTTTTGCGCCGTTCGGTACGGCTTACGGGTTATAATTTATTTATTATTCAATTATACAATTATTCAAATATAATAATACAATGTAATGGCTGGCAGGATGCTACAATTAAGCTGCTCGCTTTTTCGTTTCCGAATTGCCGCGTTATACCTACCAAATCTAAAAACACACTTGTTTCCTAGGCTTGTTTCTATTAATATCAAAAACTATTATCGATTAAAAATATTTGTAAGTGCCTAAAACTTTGCGTCAAATTGTAAACAATTACCCTAAAATATTAATATTAAAGAAAATACAAATTGCACTTAGGGCAAATTATATGCATAATTTTTTTTTGAAAACAATAACAAGCGATGAACTAACACGGTAAGTGGACACAAAAATCCAAAAGTTACACATTTTTTTTTCTTTACTATACTTTAGTTTTGCGGAACGATATAGCGTTAGATTAGGCTTTATCGCGCTAATACCAATGGACTACGCCATATAAACTATGCCATATTTCACACACTTCTGTGTGTGCAGTGTTCTTTTCTTAAGCATAGTTTTTCTATAAGAAAATATTGGCTTTGATATATTTTTCGTGAGTTGATAGAACTTCTCTGTCATCTAAGAGAACCCTGATACAGAATAATAAACGTCCAGCACGTGTAAACGAAGACGGCAGATACTGATGCAGAATTCAGCAAACTCATTATTAATATTAATGCATTAACAGAACAGCTAACTATCAAATGTAATTAATTATTTACGTGATCCAAAGTATTTACTATAAAAAATGTTGGTGGTCAGACATATACAATCATACTTTTCAATGACAATTGTTACTATCCTGTTACCATCGAGGATAGCTATGACGCCGCGCAACCTCGTTAAATCTGTGGAAGCAGCCCTTCCAGGAGCTCTATTCCCGGTGAAGCTTTTTACAGTCTACGGACTATGTCCATAAATATCAATTCTCCTATTGTTCTCACTCGCGAACGAAGGGTTCCGTACATTATCTTTAGAAGCGACAAAAAAATCATGTCTGTTGTATGGGAAAATATTTGTTGTTATTTTAATATCTGTTGTTATATCGGCAAACGAAATACATCATCTGTGTAAATTTAACTGCCTAACTATCGCGGTTCATGAGATATACAGCCTGGCGACAGACGGTCAGACGGACAGACAGTTTTACCCTTTGGGTACGGAACCCTAGAAAAGACTAAGCATACAAGAGCGACTCCGACTTCTGAAGTCTAGATGATGATGATGGTCCTGACCACATTCGGCCACAGCAACTTGGAATTGAATAATCAGGTCGTCGCATGTGTGCCCTCAGGTTACGAACATAAACAATTTTGTGCCAAATGTACGTCCACAAGTCAGCAACCTCCGATATAACTGAAAGGCCGCAGGTGGCCCGACCACTGGAGTTCATCTCGTTTTGTATCAAGCTCTAACCTTCGTCTACTCTCATACTCATACAACTTTCTGTTCACGATAACTGTCCACAGATATCCAGGTGCGTCATGGTCCCACTGCGATAGATCTAAATCACAAATTTCATGCGTCGCTTAAGTACATCTTTGTACCGCGTATATTGGTCGCCTTGTTTTGTTACTTCTTTCTTTCCATTCCGGAGTTTCGTCGTTCGTTTTTCAATCGTTTTCTTTTCTTTCCAATCTGGAGTTTACCATAGAAAATGCGCTTGGGAACTCTGTTGTTTGGCTTGTGGGGATGTTAATAATGTCTTAAGATGATACCTGTCTAATGTGCGGACTTAGGTTTCAAAGGCGGTAAACGGCAAATTAATACCATGCAAGCATAACGTACCTATAATATAAATTTTAAAGTTTTTTATAGTGCTAATCTCTGCACTTAAGATTGAACATTAAAATATGTAGAAAAAGTACGAAAAGATTGTCGCCGCTGTGGGAATCGAACCCACGTCTTCGGCATTCGCGGCCTGACGCTCTAGCCACTGAGCTAAACGGCTGATAGCCACAGCGACGAAAATCTTAACGCCTTCTTTCTACATTGTTATTTTAGCATTTGATTAGTACTTTTTCTACATGTTTTAATGTACCTATAATATGTTATAATTATATCTAATTCATTAATTCTATCTACATAACCGGACATTGTTTCTTTTTTCAAATTGTCAATTTCTATTGTGTAGCAAGAAATAAAAGGCTTTTTATTTTTATTTTATATTTATCAAGCATAACAAGTTAGGATTAGGGTTTGGGAATTCCCGACAACTTCAGAGTCCCGCGACACGAGACAACCTACAAGCTAAGTCCTGGGAACTTCCGGGATTTCGAGACTTTTAACAAAAACATTTTATTTGTTTTTTTTTAAAAAGGGTAAGGGGTTCTTTCACCATCTACAAGTATAGTATCAAGTAGGCTAATCACCAGTTAAAGTCACCAGTATCTGCTCGTACGAATTTCTAACACTAACCAAGGGTTAAACTAGTCCGTAGCTTACCTGCAACTTCATACACAAACAACAAGTATTAAAAACGAAAACAAACTACATTGTGTTGCAAACTCAGTAGTTACGTAGTAGAACCAAGTAATTATTCATTAAACTAACAGATGACGCTAGGCTCCTTCAATTATTTGAAAATAAAAACGTTTACATAACAATTTCGGTAATTTTGTCTCGTTTCGAGTCTCGACCCGAAAGTCCCGAGACTTGAGACAACTAAAATTAAAGTCCCGGGACTTCGAAAGTCGAGGATATCTTCAGGGAAGATTTATTCGCTAGTTTTTTCAATTTGGTCGAGGTAATGACTGTAAATTTTTAGGTCCGTCCGTGAAATCAATCAAAAATCTTTATTCAAATAGACGCTTGCGCGTTCTTATGAATTGTCAAATTTTACATAAAAAATTATTCATATAGGTTCGTAAGGTACCATCGGTTCGGAAAGCAGTTTCTGTTGAGAAGAGACCGGCAAGAAACGCAACAGTGGCTTTTTTTCAAAAATATCAGTTTACAATATAAAATTACCGGTATAAAATAGTCTTATTCTACCCTACGTGAGTATCAACGGTATTAACTCCACACATTGCCGTCGTCGAGATATTTACAATAGCGTAATGCTTTAACCATAAGTTGACTTTTGATTTTACATTTAAATTGATCAAGCGGCAGACTTAATATCGACTGTGGGATTTTATTATACATGCGCAGACCTTGCCCCATGAACGACCTATTTACTTTTTGTAGGCGAAACAATGGCGTAGTAAGTTTGTCCTTATTTCTAGTGTTTAATTTATGTCTGTCACTATTCTTTAGGTAAAAATTGAGGTTATGACGAATATACAAAACATTACAAGAAATGTATTGAGAAGCAACAGTAAGTATATTAATCTCTTTAAAAATATCTCTGAGCGAACTCCGGGCTCCGATATTATAGATTGCTCGGACAGCTCTTTTTTATAGAATAAATATAGAATTCATATCGGGTGCACTACCCCACAACAAAGTACCACGACCCCTCAAAAGTCTCGCGTTAAGTGGAAGTATTATACATCTGGCGTTCCGTCTCGGAGTGAGGTAGCCTGAGCCCACTTTATTAAAAGATGGCAACGCATCTGTATACCTACGAGTGTTACAAATTTCAATGGGCGCCGTTTATCAATTTACATCTTAAATAACTCCACCAGATTGCTTGCCACCTCCTCACATAAAAGAATACAAATAAAGGACACGGAGGCACCGGGAGACGCGCTAGCACCGTTTGAGAAAGAGTTCAGTTTGGTTCAGAGCATGAAATGTAAACTAACTAACATACTACTCCTCTTACAACTCTACAACTCTTCTTCGTTTCGTACAACATTGGCCGAGTTAGATGTGCTAAATACTCTTATATTTATTTTTAAAATATGACGATTTAATCTATTTAAAAGGTTTTTGTGTACATACACAAACTGAGTACGTAATAAAACATTGTTGTTAACATTTAATATGTATGTTAAGATAACGGCCCCGCAAAATGTCGCGCGATGGTCGCTCTAACAGATATGCTAGTTTGGACATTTCTAATTTATACAGCAATATGAATGATTCGTAAGGTAGCAACGTAAATTGACTCTGGGTCTTACATCTGGCTGAAAAATACGGCAGAGTGAAGGAGAAACGGATAAATAAAAAAAAATGATCTACACTACCCGAATTAGCGAAGTCATTGACAATTTTGTCCATGTAATGATTCTCGCAAATCTTAAAACGGGAGAAAACTTAGACAATGTTGAAAAAATCACTTTTCCAAGTAAGTTTCGCTGTTTTACATTTCGTGATGACGTTTATATTTTATATGGTGCATGATTGTCACCCCGTTCTGGCAGCTCCACCGAACTTGGCTTCACGTGCCCTAGAATAGTCAGTCGGGAGTCAGGTATCGTGTCGGCGCGACGTCCCTGTACTTAAAATCGCGACCGCGGCCGCGGCGAGCTGTTATCTCTTATCATAATAAAAATGATACATCAGATTACCTCACGAGCGTGATAAAGAACACTTTATACGCGATAAACGGTCCCTACGTTTAAGATTGAGTTCGCGTTAATTTCATAAGTCACGGATTCTTTTCCACTAATTCTCATTACGTACAACCATGGGAAGGATCGCGGGTTTGCTGTGAACCGTATTAGTGGTGTATTGAGTGCCGGAAGGGGTTGCCGTGACGATGAAGGCGACTTCGGCGCTGACGCGTCTTCTGTTCTTAGTCTACTCGGTCAGTTGCAGTCCGTGTGGCAGATTGGAAAGTTTGAACATCACGGGCGGCGTCGAGTTTTCCAACGGTTCCGTGATTCACGGCGGCCTGGAGTACGTGAGCGGGGCTTGGTACGACCTGGAGGAGGACGGGGCGCTGATTAGACTCGGCTGCCCCTGCATAGGGCGGGTTTGCCTCTGGAAGTGCTGCGGCGAAGGCGAGGCCTTCTCCAACAAGACGTGCGCGGCGACGGACCACGCCGCAGCGAATCCATTCAGCCCGCCAATCTTCAGAGGGAAGGAGCCCTTAGATGTTGCGGCGCATAGCAGCTTCTTCTTCATGCACTCCCGGTTGTGCGACGAAAGATATCTGGTCGACACGAGCTCGCCCACCGAAAGAATTTTCATTCAACAGGTAATGTGGTTGTGAATTACTTCTCAAGCAAGTTAATAATTTTGAACTACAATTGCTTTAAATTCTATAGACGTGTTATGATAATTTTGATGGCAGCAATAAACGTTATGGTTTTCCAAACTTTATCAAAAAAAAATGATTTTGTATTTATAGACAAATCCTAAATATTAAGCAGTTCTTCGGTGGACAAAATTAATTTGTTTTTCTATTACCTATTATAAATCTTTTTATATAGTATAATTCTTCTCTACGTGTGTATGTCACTGAACTCCTCCTAAACGGCTGCACCGATTTTTTGATGTAATTTTTTGTGTGCCTTCAAGTCGATTCGAGAATGATTTAGACTCACTATTATTATTATTCAAAAATCTTATATTCTGACAAATAAGGATACTACAACATGTAAGAAAACCTCGATAGCAATAACTTTTTAATACTAGATAATAAATACATTGGTTTTATTTGACTAGACGTCTCGACCTCTGTTTGTTAGATTGCTAAAAACGATTGTTTTATAATGTAGTCAAGTTATTATTATAGATTACGTACTTTTGGGACGTATTAAGGTTTTTATGATATCCGTATCAACTGATAGAATATAAAGAAATTGAAAGAGATCTTTCCGACCCATGATAGGTGTCAGAGAGCAGAAAGAAGTTGACTTGAATTATTTTTATTAAAACGTTTTACTGAAACCACGAACTAGTAAATCACTAGTTTTAATATTATTATAATTTAATAAGAGCCGTGATAGCTCAACGTGCCTTTAATTCAATATACTCGAGCAACCTGAGTTCGATCCCCGGTGCCGGCAACAATGAAGTTTTTAACTTCAAGTGCTGACTTATCACGTGCTCCGCGGTGAAGGAAAAATCGTGAGGAAACCTGCATATTTTCGAAATAATAACAAAAAAAATATTTATCGAAGATATGTGAAGTTCGCCAATCCGCAGTGGGGCCGCGTGGTGGACTATGCCCTGATACCCTCTGTATAGAGGAGGCCTTCTCCTAGCAGTGGGACATGTATAGGCTGTTACTTTACTTTTTTACTTTTTATAGTTTAATAAGCGATTGTGTGATAGAAGTTCAAGTGAGAGGAAATATATTTTACAATATCGTCAACATCGTCAACATCGTTCAATGCGTTTGTTGATAATGGCTTTCTTTGACCAATATCTTCGGTACTTTATTGTGTTCATTTAATAATAGTCAAAATATCACAGTACAATTGTTTTATTGTTAAGTTATAAAGGTTAAGTTATTATTCTATCAATATGTCAAAAATGGTATAAGTGGCTATCTCTGCTATTTGTCAAAATAAACACACAGGGTTGCTCTTCCCGTTCACAGTTCAAAATATATTTATTCAATATTTGTTTTCGGTATTTATTGTTTTAATAATTCATAATCACAGTACAAGTTTTTATTATTCTTATTATTATTCTATCAATATGTCAAAAATGGTATAAGTGGCTATCTCTGCTATTTGTCACCGATAGATAAAACACAGGGTTTGCTCTTCCCGTTCAACAATTGAAATAGTCAAGACGCCGTTGATAAATGTCTGTGACTGATCTTAACTGCATTTAGCGTGACAAAACAAAACACATTGTGTGCCCACGCATTAGTCCTTGTTAGGCTATCCCTAAGTCAACATTCCAATGGTCCATTAGTTGACTATAGATATGACGATGAATAATAACGCACTTGAGTGTTGTTCGGCTGTTAGTCTAGCTGTTTTACGAAATGGGCACCTCGAACGGTATAACATTAGATTTCGTATTTTTTTTTATTTACAACGTAAATTAAACTTTTTTATTTTAAACTCAATGATTAAGTTATATCGGCTCCGGTTAATAATATTTATTTACTTTATGATTCAAAATGGGACCGCCATTTCCTTTCCAATACTATAATATATCATTAAGACTCATGCAAGTTTATCGCAGTTGACGAGATTTATCAACAACAGTACATTCAATTATACAAATGGATTATAATTGCGGAGTTGCATTTGAAAAAAGTTTTTCTTAATGTGAGAAGTTGTGCGAGCAAGCGTTTGACCCGATGTTAAGCGAATACCGCTGTCCATGGACATCTAAGATACGTGAGGGCGTGGTGCGTTGACAACTTTTAAAAAAGTGTGCTCCGGCTACCTCACTCACCAGACAAATAGTCTATTCGATATTTTATAGTCTATTCATTTATAGTCTATTCGATAGATTAAATAAATGCGAATTCATTAAATATGAGAATAATTTAAAGTTTTAGGTTCCAAACAAATCTACCTGTTACTTCGAAATAACCACGAACTTAAAAAGAGGCTAAGCCGAAAAAGCCTATTTGTGGTTGTAACTGAAACTGCAGAAACCGAAACTTTTATTGAAAATAACATTCGTTTTTAAGTCTTTGCTTTGGTATTAGCTTATTTTTATATAAACATTAATTTGTAAGAAATGAGGGAGTAAATTATATGTCATAAATATAATTAAAGCCCTATGAGCCGTCGGCAACTAAGTTCCTTTAATAGGCTTTAATTTTAACCTTAGAAACAAGCATTTAGTAATATAATTAAGCCAAACAACATTATAATAACTAACGCAAAACATTAGAGTTGCTTAGGGAGACTAGAACCGCAAACGCTTTCATGTTTAAAATTTACGACAAAATTAATGATACCCAAAAATAGTTTAATGAACATAACGTTACGCAAATATTCAAGGAAAATTTTATTGAAAAGGCCAATCATTATGTGAACAATACTTTAAGGAGCAATACTTCGGCCTTTGAGGCGACCAAATGAAAATGAATCCTGCACTGCACTCGCATGTTCATTAAATGCTATACATTCGTTCTGATGTTATTATTTCTTTTATACGAGATCGCAAGCGAGGGGGCGGTTCACCTGATGTTAAGTGATGACCGCCGCCTACGGCCTACGTGCATTTAAAACACCCGTAGTGTTGTAGATATGTCGAGACCTTTTAATAAATGGGCCCCGATTACCTTACTCACCAGACGAAACACAGAAGTACAACACTTCCACTTCACGCCAGAATTCTGCAATGTCGTGATACTTCCCCGATCGGACCTGCCCATTCGTGCAACAGCGAAGACTGTTTTTACTGGTATCGAATATATTTAAAAACTGACATTTGTTTGACCGCAGAGATTTTGTCAGGCTGGATTTTAACGAACCAGTGGTATATTTGGATATTTACAAGTACAAAAAAAACTATACAATGTATTGGCAATTAAAAAAATATTGGCGTTGACTTTAAAATATACTATAATTTAAAGGATACTCTACATTCCAAGAAGGAACAGAGCAGAAGTAGGCAGTTTACTGACCTTGAAAACAAAAATTTTTGTAAACTGTAAGTATAACTAAAGTGTACCTACTAATAACTAGAGCTAAATAATTAGACTATATAAGGTCAGGACAGTGACCGTTTGAATGTACCCATGAGTAATATTATAAACGAAAAGTTTTGTTGACTATGTCTATAACGTACTAATCACTGTTCAAGAACTTAGTCATTAAGCCATTAGTCTATTATTATTGTAGGTATTGTTAAAAATTTCATAGTCATTTCAAAATGAAAGCTGTTTGTTAGGCTAAAGAACCTAACTAACGCTAAAGACCTTTCTCAACGGGTGACGTCATGAAGAAACTTTTCAGCTATTTCCAACGGTGATAATTAAAGTCAGCGCTAATTGTGATTTATGAAAGGAGAGCTTATTCTTTTTAAATGTAATATTGTTTTTTGATGTAGGTCAAATATATTGACTGCTTTTGTTGGAACATTAGATTTTTTCAAATGAATGAATATTTTAAATAAGGCCATATTGTTTCGATTTATTTATTTTAAAACTTTTTCCCCAATAGCGTACTATCGCGGACTTAACATCATTAGGTGTTCTCTACCAGTTAACCGACAAAGAAATAGAGAAAATAAGATGGTGCTAGAGAGCCAAATAAGAAATGTTCACATTTATACCAGAATCAATTTTTATTGCGATAAGGGGGCAAGGGTACAGTTGGTTCACCTGCTTTTAAATGGTTCCTGCATCCCCAGCGCCTGCAACGTCTGGATTACAGATGAGTTGCTGTGGCATTTTTCTGTATGCTGGCCATTCAATTCGTCAACAGCAGAAGGTGCTGCGTGTCTCTACCACGCATAAATGTATGCAGAGAGCTTAGCGTAAAAAGCGAAAGCCAATGTCATTAATAATTATCTTGGATTTTAAGTTTTTCATGTTGTTATTAAAATTATGACTTTCGTTTGAATATAGCAATTTATTTTTATTACGACTCACGCCCGGTTTCTGAAACACTTGTACCTACATCGTAGAAGTTAAGGTTTCTGAATTGATCAGAATAATATTCTTAATGATCACAATGATCAATTCAAAGAGTTTAACAATCTATTTGGAAACTCAAATAACATTTGAAAAGCCATTTGACAGCTGATTAGTTAACTTCTACGATGATCAGTGTTTTTGTAACCGGGCGTAAGTATATCAAACTCTGTTTTTCCAATCTTTTCAAAGCGCAAGTTTTCAAGTTTCAAGCTGCGGTATAGGATGCGTTCAAATTCCAGAAAAGTTATGCCTTGCCTTATCTCCAATGTTGTTACTCCAACTGTTTACTCTCTATTACTCCAACGCTGTTACTCGCGCCAAATTAGGAAGAAACGACGTAGCAAAGAAATATTGTTATCTTCATTGTTTTGAAAATTCCTTCGCCGAATGTTTTTTTTTTTACTTTATGGGCTTCGTAAGCGTTTGTCTGCTTTTATATTTGCCGCGATTTATCGTAATCAAAATTATTGAAGTTATAATTACTTCTTTAGGGGCGTTATGAAAAACAGTTATAGTTACAGTTCTCAATATAATTGTAGATAGCGCTTTTATAATTTTATTATTATTTATTATATATATCCTTTTCCAGTCTTTTTCTTATTTTATTATAATTAATTATTTGCATGCAATTAAAAACTATTTTTTAA